TTCAATAGTACTAGATCGGATTCTAATAGAGAGCAAACATTCCTCAATTATTAAGGTAGAGTTAGTTTTTTTTTAGTTAAGATCACTATGTTTTTTAATAAATCCTATGATTATTTTTAATTTCTATTTTGATAAATAAATAAATTATAATAAATATTTATAATTTATATATATAAATAAATTAATATTTATTTATTTATTTATATTCCTATCCTATAAAAAAAAAAAATTCAACACTGCATTCTCAACATGACAACCCACTTCTTATTTTTGGATGATTCTAGCTTGTGCATTGTGTCACATTCAAAAGGTAGTTTTTTCTACAATGTATATTTGTCATTTGCTTTCCTTTTAGTCTTCCCTATGAGAATAAAGAAACATATAATAAAGAGCATAATTGTATTTTGATGACATTATGAAATGTGTATTTGATGATCATGTGATAGTCTTGAATTCAACATCCGTGCTCATGGGACTTCGTTTACTTGATATTTGTTTATGCTGTCTACAACTTTCTTATTCTCCAGGGTCATTTACCACCTTCGAAGACCATTTTTCATTGTAAATGAGTCCTTTATGTCATAAGCTGTACCTGTGAAATTAGCTCTGTAAACATATGTTCGACGAGGCCATTTCAACACTAATGTGAGTTTGAGGTTTCATGTAAATAAAGATCGAAAATAAAAATCCAAATCCCAAATCATATGTTTGAGAGGCTCCTATTTATAGAGTGGTGAAATAAATGTTTCTTACTTGTAAAGAGAAGTTTAGAAACTCTACACTAACTTTTCTTTCTTAAAACAATGTTTTAAATGATAATTGATCAAAGTTGGTGTGCCAAAAATTTATGTTGCACATGTAATCAGTGATCCAATAGATTACTGCACTACTATATAGAGGCAGAAATATCTCTCTGTAGAGAACATACAGTGAGTGACACATGTTAGAAAATATAGCAGCAGATATGACTGCTACTTTTATAGTGACATTGAGAAGGTCAAGCTCTGGAAGTTCAACCAGGTTGATTTCTCCATTTTCTAGTGCTTAATATTCTTCTGCATCAAAGTTGATTTTGTTGTATATCATAATACTTGATCAGTATCCCACCATAAATTTCGGTGACAACTCTATGAAAAAACTTTTACCAAGTTAAAGATGTTACATTTTTTTTTTTTTTATCTGATGTACATTTCAAAATTTAACTATTTGTCGTCATGGGTATGAGCATTTTGGCCCGTGAAGAATTGATCATTCTAGGATATGTCCTACGGAGGAGAGACCTCTTGGGCCTTACGATAGGTGCTATATGATAAGTCGTCATTTGTTTTTATCGGTATAAGTACATAGACCTATGTAAATTTATAAATCCAATTCATTATCTTCTTTCCCCTTTAGGCGAAAACCAAAGGGAGACATTGTGAAATTTCGATGATACGGGGCGAGTTCTTATCAGCCTAAGCCTATTCATCGACTTCTGGAGATTATGTCTATCTTCAAATATCCATCATATGCAGAATCCACACACCATTTAGCTGAAATCTAATTCTGTAGCTCTTAGAGAATAATTATCCTTGAAGCTGGTCTATTGTGTGTTTTCAACAAAGGGGTTGTTGACACTCTAACATGCCATTTTATTTGAGGCACAATATGGACTTTGGTGAGTGAGTGCCACAATATGTGTTCATGAGGTTTGATCAACCAAAATGACAAAAAATTTCCCTAAATTTCTATTGAGATTGAAGGACAGCTACAATGGTCAAACACAAGCATGTTTCAAGCTAACAATACTTTGCTTGTCAAAGATGCACATATGTATCCCTCCAAAAATATATGTGTATATACTACTTAGGTGTACTTTAGGTAGATTGTATTTTTATACAACTTTTTTATAACTCAAATCATATAAAGATGGAAAGATCATTTTTTGATGCATTTTAATTTCAGAAACACATATGAACCCAATTAATATGCTGAACCAATGTGCATAATTGGCCTTCTTTCATTACTCCTGGGGTTTGGGGATGGTATGTTCTAAGCACAAGCAGCACAACTCACCATTAATACCTAAAATGCAGAATCAACTCCCTAAATAAAGATAAAATAAAATAGTAGGAAATAATTGTAAAAGAATAGCATTATTTGCTGTATGTCTGATCAAAATCTAACCTGATATGACCTATCTAATGTATTCAGTCCCCATTTATATAATGGCTGGTTATTATTTTAATTAATCCTATGCAGCTGTGGAATGGAAAAAAAAAATTGCCACAATACTACAATTATTTTGTTTTATCAGAAAAAAAATTGTGGTAGATTAAAACAAAGAATGTTTTTTTTCCTCATGCAATGTGATTGCACAAGAAGGACAAACCCTTGTGTTGTTCTATAACATGTTTGAGAATTCTGCCTCTCTCTCCTCTGTGTCCTCCGCAGACTTGCAGACTGCAGACTGCAGACGAAACAGGAGACCGCTTGGCGAGTACGTGCATGCATGACAACTCTGAGAGCTTTGTTCCTCTCTCTCTCTCGTGTGGAGATTCGGGACAAGAGGATGGATGGAGAGCGACGGGCAGGCCGGGAGTGGGGAGGGTGTGATCCCCATCAGCCTAACGGCGGGGGAAGCGAGGCGGAGGAGGAGGAGCTGCCATCGGTGTTGCGCTGCCCGAGAGAGCTGAGCATGGAACGCCGAGCCCGGGCAGCTTCCCAATCATAAAGCAATGGATTGCTATATCATTTCATCCCCCTTGATTCCCGTGCCTTCCCTCCACTCCACGCCCGTTGGCCACCGGACCACGCGGCCCCCCCCCTTTCACCGGCCATTGAGGGCTGACCTGAGCCTCCTGTTCCCCATACGTCCCTTTCCTCCTTTCACTTTCTTCCTCGTCCGCTTTCCTCCTTTGTCTGCTGTGGCACAGTGCAAGTACCAAAGGATTCAAGTAGGTATATCTCTGCGACCTTATTCCATCCAATCTCTTCTCATCCTTCATTCTTTCTTCTCATCTCTCATCTATTTTTCTGCAAATATATATATACATTACTATCATATTAATAATATATATACATTATAGTATGGATCCTCTTCACTGAGATCTCGCTGTCACACACACAGAGCAGGCAGGCAAGACTTCCATTTCCAAAGAGACACTTCATATATGAAGAAACCATTTTATCAGTGTGCCTTCACCTCTGACCACCGAAGTAACACCATTTTGACAAGGAGAACACCTACGCTACGAACAGGCTACCTCGTTGAATTGACCGCAGAGAGAGACGAGAGAGAGAGAGAGGGGGGAGTCAAAAGGTAACTCGGTAAAGGAGCACAGTGTCCCATGGGGTCATGGGGAAGAGGCAGGGAGCTGCAAGGACTGGTGAAAACAAGGCATCATAGAGGGGTCACGTCACTAGGCCGACAGCCTCTGATGCCTCCTCTCTAAAGCGTCAACACCAGGAGAGGACTACACGCTGCTCTCTCACTTCCCCCTCTGTCTTTGTTGCCAGCGAAGAAAGAGGGGGAGAATGAAGAGAAGGGAAAGAGGGTTGGAACCTTGTGAGAAGATTGCATGTTTCATCATGTGGTAATCATTCTTTTATAATTTGAGCTCCACAGGGCTCCTGTGGTAAAGAAAACCTCTTACTTTTCTTTTGATGTCAGTAATACTGATTCTGTCAGCGGAAGAAAGTGATAGAGAGAAGACAGGATGAGAGAGAGAGAGAGAGAGAGAGAAATAAAGTTGGGAAGAGCCTTAAAAGCTACAAATGCTGTTGTACCACAACCTCTGAAAAGAGGTCTTTTATTATCCAGCTGCCCTAAAGGAACAATAAAGGAAGCTTTATTTACTTCTCATCCATGTAACTTTGCTGCTTTTACTTCCCCATCTTTTGCTTTCTGAATTAACCAAGTCACTAGGAAAATTGATCACTGTTGATCCCTCTTTTTCTCTTCTTTATTTGCTGTCCTTTCGATCGAACGAGATGTTAATCACACAATGAAACTGCTTTGAGTGCAGGTTGACCATCAAATTTTGCCAAGTGCACAGGTTTAGGTCCATGAGTCTCTTCTCCCAAGAATGTCTGCATGAACCATTGCCACGTTGGTAGGTTCTCGCCCATTGATTCTGATGCTATCCTAATCCTGTAGAAGAAGTATAGTTTGCTTGTTGTGGCATTTAAGGTTGTCGTCCACATTAAAAATCCAAATCATGATACGAAGATCGCATCTTTGTGAATCACACAAGTGTTGGTGTGTGATGTGTGGATCCACAAGTCAAATGGGTAGTCACTGGCCAAGAATGCATGCATGTTCTTAGATTGTCACCGACCGGTGTCCGTGTTAACAAGGTTGTCAACTGAGATCAATCCATGTCAAAGATCTCTGCAAGAAATCTGAGAGGTCACCAGCAGTATTATTCATTGTCGCATGAAGTGAAACTGGAGAAAGATACCAGGTGCAGTGTCTGGTAAAGCAAAAGCAGGGTAAAGGGATCAAAAAGCACAAATAATTATGCTCAGAGTCCCATGGCATGCAGACAAGAGCTGCATGGGGGAGCAGAACCACATGAACAAAAGCCAAAAACCACTTTGCCACCACTCTCTTTTCTTCACACCATTCTCTGAATTGGGATCATCTACAAGGTTAAATTTGCAGGTCCTTTTCTGGTAGAGACAGCAGGTGTCATTATTGTTTTGATGGTCCAGTGTTATCTAAATTATTACAAAAGCTAATCATCCATGAATAAGATTCATAGAAAGATGAAAAAGGTAGAGATGAGATGATAGGAGTAAAACAGTCCTATATGTCTATTGGTTGGAGTCCACACACCATGATGAATCATCAAAAGTTATGGATGAAAAATAGTTCTAGCGCACTTTCTGATGTTAACATGTTCTATCAAAGAGAACTTACGGCTACTGCGACTTCAAGATCATAGCAAGCTTCTTGTAGAAAGTTTTCGGGGGAAAGAAATTATCGGTAAAGATGATGCTGTCTGAGAAGTCATCATGTTCAAGAAAAAAATCATTTCAGATGCTCTGTAATGTTCATTCATTCATCGGCAACACATGTTATCATCCGAGGGATTTGATCGTGGAGATAGGAAGGACAGTCAAGCAATGCAGCATTGTCTCATTTTTGTGTTTGATGCTTGTTTTCATGACTGCCTTTTGACTTTCTTGGGAGAATATAAAGCAAAGAGTACACGCGAACATGCACGAGAATGAAGCAACCCTGATTGATCCTTTCCCCTTTACCAAAGCAAAAGAGAGATGCCATGAAACTTCATATCTTTGAAGAACGTATCTATAGATCAACATGCTTTCGCTACTCTTGCCTTTTGCCTCAATTGTCTTCTTGTCTCTTTCACCTTTCTTTCACTTTGCTTTTCTTTTGAGTCCCTTTATTTGGCGGTGGGTTCTTGGGGTACTTCAGGTCATTGTGACCTACCCAAAGTGAACTCCAGATTGAGTTTGCATGGGCTCAATGTCTCCGACAGGCATGATGAGTTCAAATCTGAATACATTTCCATTCTTTTTGGTTGCAGGTCCTTCTGCAGAAGAAATAAAGCATCATATTGGTGTTTGTGATGTTTATATGAATGAAAGATTAGCTATATCTATCTGAAATGCTAATTTGGTACCTTAAATGAATGCATACTCCCAGTGTTGGATTCATCACAAGGTATGGTGGCAGTGAGGCAGCCTTCCCTGTTGCAAATGAAACCGCAAGAAAGACCATGGGAATCAGTACATGCAAGATGTAGACATTTAATAGCTTATTGAAGGAAATCTCAGTTCCATGCCATGACCAATTAGCCACAAAAAGAAGATGCAAGGAAGCTCGGAGGACATTTGCAAGATTAAAAGGGAAAAAAGAAAGGTACCCACAGTCAGATCTGTCCCTTTTGGAACAGATTTTTCAGATGAGTCTGTGTCTTGGAACAAAAGTGTCACTGTGGTGTCCTTTCTGAACTATGCAAATGGATCATATCATCATCATGAAGGATCAAATGTTCATGAGATCCTGGACAGATGGAACAAAGCTATGATACATGCTGCCTTTTCTGAGCATCTATGTGGAGATCAACAGTGGAAAGTTAAAAAGGAGTAGAAGAGAGGCTTTGACGAACCTAAAGGGCCCATAAGATTGATGCAAGAAAGAGGAGATCACAGACTCTGACTTCAATGAGAAGCAAATCCCCAAACCATTCTTGTTTACATTCTTAGCTTCTGGTCTTAAGTGCATATAAGGAAGGAGCAAGCAATGGTTATCCTCACCAGTGACAGCTAGTGATCATCTGTTCCATGAAGAGAAACTTTGCAATGGGCACATAGCAATTTGTTTCTTTGCTTATGACACGATTGAGAACATGTTATTGACATTGATGAAGAGGTGCTCAAAATACAAACCATGTCCAGACATGGTTCTCAACTGAAAGAATGTCAAGTACTAACACAGACACCTATACGTGCATGTCTATTACCCAAGAGAAAGAAAGAGGATAGGGGAAGCTCACACATGTCAGTCTACCTCCAGAACATGGATCGTCTTGCAGTACAAACATAGTGACAGAAATGAATCAATGTAATCATCTAAGAGCAAAAGAAATCATGTTTATGCCATACAATTACAGGAAAACAAACTCGTCATCACCTTGAAGGATTGCTCCATAGACCACTGATGTGAGTGGTGCTGTGATGTGCAGCTGATGACCAACCATGTTGAGCAGATGATCCCAACCTATGGGGATTTGGGTTATCTAGCAAATTATCATCACAGATCTCTCCAGCTGACTCGTTCTCAAATCCATCAGATTGACCTACAGCAAAGAGCGAGAATAAACCTAAGCAAGAAGCTTTCTAAACTGGAAAATATAGAGACAAATAAATACATGTTTCTTAAATTACCTGAAGAAACTGCTGGTTTATCTGTGTTCTTCAGAGTCCGATACATCTGCAGTCATCCATATCATCATGATCATTTGTTGACATTGGGATTATAGGTCATTTCCATGTCTAAATTGCTGCAGGAAAGACACCTAAAGCTTCCCCTTGTCCTATTTTTAGCCATTGATGCAGTTCTAAGGTACACTTGATTCATCTTTGTTGTTCTTAAAGCTTGAGCCAATCAGTGGACTTTTCTCTCTTTTTTGGTGGTGTTAACCTCCTCTCTTTCCCTACAGTAGCCTGTCTATGTTCCCTATGCAAAAGCTGCTGCAATGCTCCCCCAACACACACACACACACAAAGAGAGAGAGAGAGAGAGAGAGAGAGAGAGAGAGGACGA